TCACACAGTTGGAAGTTTGCACTGTTTTCTTAATAGGGAGAACTCTTGATAGTCACGTAACGAATTGTACGTTTTCCATCGTGCCCACATTTTAGATTTACGCCTAAGTGTATAAATTAAGCTATTAGAGAACCACTTAGGGAATCTATTGGTTTTAACTTTGATAAGTGGTACATAAGATTCAATAACATGCATAATTTTGTTATAAAATTTGTCAACTACAGTGTCTATACAAGAAGAACTGAGTTCAGAAACCCAATCAGTCTCTGATATAGCAGTATTAATTTGGTCATAGTTTGCTGTGTAAAAGTTTCGTTTTGTTTTCTGGTTGGTGGGTATATACTTGGATTGAGTTGTTTCATAAAAAATGTCCAGCGGAGGATGGTGAGGAACGGCTTTTAAGAGTGGATCATCAGAGATATTAACTGAACAATCAGGTGAGTTGCATAAAACAAGATCAAGAATTCTACTGTTTTCGTTTTTTAATGTATTTATTTGTTTCAAATTCATAAAGGCCATAATATGAGACAATAATTTAGCTGTATCAGTAACTGCATTAACAGGTCTCAAGGATGGACCATCAGATGACCATTCCAGGTAGGGTAAATTAAAGTCACCAGTAATATTGTAATGTGAGAATAATGCCTTTGAGTGAATGTCGTGAAGTGTATAAAAGTATTTATCATAGGTAGTAGTTTTAGACGCTGGTGGTATATAACATGCACTCAATAATAAATTTGAGTGTGGGAAATGAAGAAAAATAATTTCTAAATCGGTGGCCTCTAAGTCAAGTTTTCTAACAACATGGATCGATTTCTTAACAAGAATTAGCACCCCGCCACCGCCCTTTTTATTAAATAACATACAGTTCCGATCGCGTCGAAATATTATATAAGCATCAGTTTGAATTTCAGCATCCAAAATTGTATCCAACAGCCAGGTTTCAGTTAAAATTACAATATCGAAGTTACAAGTTAGTAAATTTAGTTTTAAGTCTGTAAGCTTAGTTTTTAAGCCTCCACAATTTTGATAGAATATAAGTAACTTATTAGAAGCCATCACGAGAAAGAAATGCAACCGATATAATTAAGTGTATTTATAAATTTGTTTGCTATAAAATTATGGATCTCGATCTCCCGCTGTATTGAGTATTGTAAACAACATACACAAAAACTTATAATAAAACTACTTAAATATGCTACTTTTGGAAAATTAATAAACAAGTAAACGTAATAAAATAGTCATATTTTACTTAAATCATTAGTACAACGGATGTGAATGACACGTGAATCGTCATTTTTCCGTAGCAAAATGCAACTGTTTTTGACCCACACAAATTTATATCCCTTCGACTTCGCCAGTTGTCGAGCGTTACTAAATAAAATTTTATTTTTTAGTGTCAGATGTTCGTTTATATAGAATCGTGTCTTTTGAGCTGCAGCAGCGGCACTGTTGGCAGAGCCAAACAACTGAGTAGTGGTAGGTGTGCGGCGCGAACGCGCCGCCGCAATCATATCATCACGCAGTCGTCGTGTGGTCAGCTGAAGTACAATGTTTTTTGGACGGTCGGTCGGTACCTTTGGAGCCACGCGATGAACAGATCTAATATCGCTTGCCTTGATATCGACGCCAATTAGCTTACCAACCTCTATAGATAAATGAATCAGGTTTTCAGCCTTTTTATCAGGAATGTTTTGTAATTCCACGTTGCAACTGCGAGAGGCTTGGTCGAGGTCATCAAACTTGGCACGTAAATTCTCCAAATCTGCGCGAAGCTCGTTGTTTTCCTGCATCAGGGTGACGTCAGGACTATGCGATGCCGTAAAGTTTTGCTCGAGTTCCTTTATGCGCTCCTCCCATGAATCAACACGTTTTTCTAGCCTATTAATATCTTGCGCAAAAGTTTTAGATACTTTTTGAATGGCTGAGTTTAAGTCCTCCTGCCACTGCTGGCGCAGACTGTCAAGTTTCGCATCCATATATTCCGTCAAGGCGTCGGTGTCGACGTTTAAAATAGACGTAGTAGCGCAATCTTTAAACTTAGGTGACACTGTCCCTCCTAACGTACCAGCGAGCCTCTTATTTTTACAGGGTGGGCATTTCCATTTGATTTTATTCATAGGGAGGATTTTTTTGAATTCAGTTTCAGATAAATCAGCACATTGATAATGCATGTACATATTACATCCCGTACATTTAATAACATCCCTTTCAGTAACATTTTTTTTACACTTAAAGCAATCCATTGTAGTGTAAACAACAATATCCAGCTATGTAGTCTCAAATGTAAGATTTATGCGCGGTAGAAACAGAAACATAAAACTACGCCTGTATCACTGTTGCTGTGTTAATAAGGTCGCGAGCAAAACGGCCCAAGTGCCGGTGATATAGCGGCGCTTACGCGTTCCGTCCGAACACTTCACAAAACTCGATATTAATTTGTAATTATTTGATATAGTTTTAATTTCAGAATACTTTAACATTAACAAAATTTCACTGGCTTTAGTACACTTAATAAAGAACTGTTGACACGGTAAATGAGACTTAAGCACTCACTACAAACCCATTATTTTATTTAAATTAGACAGACGAAAAGAATAAGGTGTTACGCGATAGACTGCTACGATCGGACTGTGTTAAATAACTACTTAATAATATATTATAATGTGTCGGTCAACTGTGGAAAAAGAAGAGGTTTTCCTCAGCCAAAACGCGGCTGGAGGCAACAATGACGCCACGTTGAAAGAAATCGGAGGCCACGTGGAGCGGCTTAGCATTGTGACCTATATTGTTCTGGCCATTATTGGACTCGTAGCAGTTTATGTGGGCCTGCGGATGTACAGGAGCTGCCACCGCACATGGATCCAGCAGGAAATTGGGATGAGTACCATGCAGAGAATCAGATCATCCATCAGAGGGCGCACAGAAGGTAACCAGAATCAGTAATTAGAAGTGAATGCATAGTGAAAGTGAAAATAATTTTAAAGTTGTTAATTTTTTCGTAAAAATAATAAATATCAGTGAGTGAGCCAGTTATGCGGTATCATATTTCATAACGCTATAATTCTAAAGGTGCTAAAACCGCGCGCGGACATTCAGGAATAAGACACCAAACGGAAACAAAATGCAACGTCGGACTTTTTTTTTCTTCGCATTTATGTAGAATGTGTTACATTTGTGCAATTCTATTATTAAATTAAGAATATTATGATTGATATTTTGGAAAAAAATTATGTTTGTTTAGTAGAAATACGTAATTATTTAGTAAAAAAAGGGACAAACTAGATATAAGGGTAATGTTATTTCAACTAAGTTAGATCAAGCAAAAAGCGCATATGAAAACTGTTGTAAAATATATTTAATTATTGAAAAAAGTAAAGATATTAATTTGGAATCGGCAATAGATCTTTATCAGAAAATAAAACAAAAGTACGAGGAAATAGAAAAATTGTGTACTTTTCCCGTTACAGTAGATTTAGGTAAAATGGATTTTGACATAAAGGTGGCGTGTAGTTTGATTCCAGTAATGGACGGTGTAGAGGCCACCACTAAGCGCCTAATAGACTCAGTGGAGATGTATGCTGACATGCTGGACAACCCAGGTAAAGTATTATTAATTACTTTTGTTTTGAAAAGTCGGTTGAATGAAAATGCAAAATTACGAATTGCAAGCTCATACAAAACTATCCAAGAATTAATTGATGATATGAGGAAATATCTTTTACCCAAAAAATCATTTATGGCTATACAGACGAAGCTTCAGAATATTCAACAAGGCTCGAGATCCATTGAGGATTATGGTACGGAGGTAGAAACGTTATTTACAGAGTTGACAATTACTCAGGCAGACGGAAAAGAGGAAGTATTCTCGATTTTAAAACCAATCAATGAAAGTTTTGCCATAAAACGTTTTTCAGATGGCCTGCGTAGCGCAAAAATGAGCACCATCATCTCAGCACGCGGCTTCAGCAGCTTGAAGGATGCCATACAAGCAGCAAAAGACGAGGAGTGCACGTCTTTCCAACCACCAGGTAACATTTTGTATGCATCTAAAAATGGACACCACTCGGTACACAAATTTAGACGTTCTCAAGGTCAAAGAGGAATTTACCGTAGTCAATATGGTAACAATTACCATCGTGGGCATAAATTTAATAACCACTACAATCAAGGACAAGGTTCTAGCGGAAATTCTAGAGCAAATTATCGTCCTTCATATAATAATCAACGAGGAAATAGAGGCTCTAGATATGTTAGGAACCGTGGACGAGGTCAAAACTCATTTCCAGTAGAAAAAGTAGCTGACACTCATCAATGCGATAAAGACGACAATGCAGGTACATCGAATCAGTTTTTTTCGATCCTAAGCATTTTATATTATCATTACAAGGTGATGCGAAATATGTTACTTTTTATATTAAAAACATTAAATACTATTGACTTATTGATACGGGTGCAACATTGTCAATTATTAAAAATGAAGTACTGCCAAAAGATATCATTGTTAATAGAGATAATACTATAATAAATGGAATAGGTGGTCAGCGACGATCTCAAGGTTCTGTAAATTTAATATTAAAATACGAAAATGCCACGTTTCAGCACAATTTTCTTGTTTTTGATTCGCTACCACTAAAAGCAGACGGAATCATAGGCTTAGACTTTTTAGAAAAATTTAGTGCGAATATTGATTTAGGTTCAAATAATTTAACACTTTTTAACAGTAATAAACAACATTATCTACATTTTGTTGATGAACATGATAGGATGAAAAATTCTATGATTATTCCAGCACGCTCGGAATCAATTCATTTTATTATTGTGAATGAGGATGTAACTGGAGAAGTAGTAGTATGCAGTAAAGAGTTAACGAAGGATGTCTTTATAGCAAACGCAATAACTACAGTTAGTAATAGTAGAATTCCAGTTAAAATAATTAATGTTAGTGACAAGGAAGTAAACTTGCCATCTTTCACACCAGATTTGAAAAGTTTGTATAATTATAATATTTGTCAATTTAATAAGACCAATATTGACGTTACCAGGGTTAAAACTTTGCTATCTGAATTAAATTTAAATTATTTAGACGGAGAAGAGAAACAATCAATTGAAGCAATTTGTGCAAAATATTCTGACATTTTTCATTTGGAAGGAGATAAGTTAACGACAACTAATATTTATGAGCCATCTATTGTTTTAAAACAAAACTCCACTCCAGTTTACGTCAAGCCTTATAGGTTACCACAGGCACTAAAACCAGAAATAACTAAGCAAGTTGAGAATATGTTAGAAAATGATATAATCGAAGAGTCAAATAGTGAATGGTCCAGTCCAATATTATTAGTACCTAAGAAAAGTAGCAAAGATAATGAGAAAAAATGGCGTTTAGTTGTAGATTACAGAAAACTGAACGAGGTTATTTGTGACGACAAATTTCCTCTACCAAATATTAATGAAATTTTAGATACGCTTACTGGAGCCATTTATTTTACTCATCTTGACCTTCACCAAGGTTACTATCAAGTAAGTTTAGAGCCTAGTAGTCGTAAATTAACAGCTTTCACTACAAATACTGGTCAATATTGCATGAAGCGTTTACCAATGGGTTTAAAGATCAGCCCTAATGCCTTTAGTCGTATGATGTCTGTAGCGATGTCTGGTTTAACTTACGATAAATGTTTAGTATATCAGGACGATCTCATTGTATTTGGAAGAAATCTGTCTTCCCATAACAAAAATTTAATAACTGTCATGGAGAGATTGAGAAAAGTAAATTTAAAACTAAATCCTCAGAAATGTGAATTTTTAAAGAAAGAAATTCTTTATTTAGGACATTTGGTTACAGAAAAAGGTGTTTTACCAGATCCAGAAAAAACAAAAGTATTACGAAATTATCCTACTCCCAAAAATGCAGATGAAGTAAAACGGTTTGTAGCATTCTGCAACTATTATCGTAAATTTATAAGAAATTTTTCGGATATAGCAATACCTTTGAATAAGTTAAGTAGGAAAAATGAACCATTTATTTGGTCTGATGAATGTCAAAACGCTTTTGAATTTTTAAGAAATGCTCTCATATCATCACCAATTTTACAGTATCCCGATTTTTCCGAAAATCATGAATTTATTTTACAAACAGATGCCTCGGGTACTGCTATTGGTTCTGTATTATGTAATAAAGATCTCAGACCAGTTGCATATGCCAGTAGACCCTTGAATAAAGCAGAAAGAAACTACCCAACTATTCAAAAAGAACTTTTGGCAATAGTGTGGTCCGTTAAGTATTTCAGACCATACTTGTATGGAAACAAATTCACCATAATGACAGATCACAAACCATTAATATATCTTTTTGATATGAAAGATCCGTCAAGTAGATTACTTAAATTTCGATTAACTTTAGAAGAATATAAGTTTAAAATAGTCTATCTGAAAGGAAGAGACAATGTTGTGGCAGATGCTTTATCGAGAGTTTGTATAACGTCTGATGAACTTAAAAGTATGAATGAACAAGTAATGCTGTAATGACCAGAGCGCAAAAGAAAAAGCTGAATGAGTTAAGTAAGAGTAAGAATGACGTTGAAAAGAAGGATCTTAATAAATCTATTAACAATTGGCCTGATCAACCAAGAGTTGTGGATATATTAAGAAAACAGTGTGATTCAGTAGAAATGTGTTTGATTGAAGGCAACAAATTAAAACAAATTAGAGATAATGCCTTGATAACTGAAGAATTTGAATGTTTTACATTTATAGAGGGTAAAAAGACACTATACATTAATCTTGATTTCAAGGCGCATTTCTCGCGAGCAGAATTTGTGCAGAAATTAAGCAATTTTTTGAAAAGATACGTATCAATGAAGTGTGTATAATTAAAAATAATGATAATATAGAATTTATCAAAAGTGTTTGTGATGAAATAACAACACTTAGTAATTGGTCCGGACCGCGAATATGCATATTACGAGGCGTAAAAAGAATAGATGACGACAACGAAAAGACACTTATTATGAATGACTTTCATTTACTGCCATCCAGCGGTCATGCTGGAGTGCGCAGAATGATAAATACAATCAAAAGTCGATACTATTGGCCAAGTATCGACAAGGATGTCCAGGAATTTGTTAAAAAGTGTACAAAATGTCAGAAACATAATATTTTCGTAACATAAAAGAACCGATGGAAATTACCACAACAGCTTCCTCGGCTTTTGAAAAGATATACTTAGATGTAGTGGGACCCTTAG